TGCAGTTCCGGGAAGGACACGCCTCGGACCGGCAGGTGCCGAGGTCTGCGCACAAGAGCCACACACCGAGGGCCGGGCCCTGGCGCCCCCCCCGCCACGAGCCCGTGGGCCGAAGCCGAGACCCCCGCAACCCGGCACGCGAGATACTCACCGGCGTCCAGGCTGCCGGTCGCTGCCGTCCAGCCCATGACAGGCGGGATGGCCCCGACGACGGCTCCGACCCACGTGTTGGCGATGCTGATCTTCTTCAGCGGCGTATAGCAACAGGTGTACAGGAAGATGTTGAAGACCCCCAGGGCTCCCGTGAGGGGGTTCACCCCCCAGGTCAGGAGGGCGACGCCTGGAAGGGCACAGCACGTGGCAAAGGACACAGCTAGCAACGGGCTGAAAAAGAGCAGCGGCACAGAGCAGTCACTTTCCAGTCCGGCGGGCCGCGCTGCCCGCACTCGGCGTGGACCACCCACCTACGTGGCGCGGCGACCTGGGAGGCAGGCTGCTGCGCCTTCTTCCCGATTACGGGGCACCGGAACCCGAAAGGCGGGAGTTCTGGCTGCCTCCTCTGACATCTGCCGGCCGGGGCTGAAGTTCGAGTCCAGGTGAGAGCGCCCTGGATTCGTTCTGTCCCTTCCCGGCCGTGGGAGGCGGGCGTGTCCCTCTGCTCACCTGCACGGCCGGGACGGTTCTCTGCTCTCGCTCACAGGCTGGAGTGAGGGCCGAGGCAGATACTGCCTGCTTGGCACAGGGTTCTGCTTTGCAGTTAGTGCCAAGTAGGTGACGGCCATAGAGAAACCACCCGGAACGCGGTACCGGTAATGTTTGGGCAAAAGCTGGCATCTCAACCCTGCCCGTGTATTTATAGTTTAAACACATTACCCCATTAGCAGTAACGGATAATGACAGTATGTCTGAATGTATCTATCTGTGATAAATTACAGGCTTGGCAAGGGACCGGCTTGGGGCCCACGGCCACACACCAGGGGGCTGCCCCACACGGATAGCTCAGTTTCGGTGCCACAGCTGGTTTCAGAGCCACGGCATCTCCGGAGGACCCTCACCATGTTGGCAGGTGCAGTGAACAGGGTCAAATACAACTCTCCACCAGCCGGGACAATCCTACGCCTGATTCTCATCAGAGCCCACTTTTTTTTTTTTTTTTTAAGTTTATTTATTTATTTTGAGAGAGACAGAGACAGCATGGGTTGGGGAGGGAAGGAGAGAGAAATCCCAAGCAGGCTCCACGCTGTCAGCGCAGAGCCTGATGCAGGGGCTCAAACTCACGAACCGTGAGATCATGACCTGAGCCGAAGTCAGACACTTAACCGACTGAGCCACCCAGGTGCCCCATGCCAGAGCCCACTTTCTAAGGTGGACTTTACATGGGATCTTGTGAGAGAGACAGGGAGAGAGAGAGAGAGAGAGAGAGAGAGAGAGAGAGAGAGAGAGAGAATCTCAAGCAGACTCTCCACTGTGAGCCCGGAGCCTGATGCAGGGCTCGATCTCATGAACCATGAGACATGACCTGAGCCAAAATCAAGAGTCAGACGCTTAACCGACTAAGCCACCCAGGCGCCCCTATATTTCAATGTATGTTAATAATTTCCCTGTGCTGTTCAGAATTCTTTTGTAACGTCATCATTAATAGGTACATAGTGGTCTATTCTGTGGATTCAACATAATTAATTCAGTCAATATAGCCTTTCTGGACATTTTGTATCTTTCCTTTTAAATTAGAAGTAACGGCATATATATCTTGCAGACAGACTGCTGTTCATAGTTCTGACTAGGATGCATCCTGAGGATAAATTCCCAGACCTGAGACTGCAAGGCCAGCTGACATGCACGTTTGTAGGGATTTGACTTGTACCACTAGTCTACGCCCCAGAGGGTTTAGGCTCTTTTACACTCCTATCAGCAGTACATGAGAAAGCCTATTATTTCTAGAACCTGTATCAACACTGGGTATGGCATTAAACACAAACCAAAAATTAACAACGTAAAAACATGTTTATTGAGATAGCATTATCCCCATTTCACAGAAGAGAAACTGAGGCTCAGATGGCCCCTGAACAATGAGAGGAACGGGGTGCCGACCGCGATGCACAGTTGAAACATCCACGTGTGACTTCTGACTCGCCCAAAACTTAACTACTGATACAACCACGAGAGATCCCTTTTTACCAAGATACGCAATTTACTGCAGAGACAAACTGCTTATGCAGAGATGATTAGCATCACACATGGCATTTTATTATTCCCTTTTAAATTCTTTTTTATGTTTATTTATTTATCTTTGGGAGAGAGAGAGAGAAGACAAAGCTTGAGCAGGGGAGGGGCAGACAGAGAGGGAAAGAGAGAATCCCAAGCAGGAGCTCGATCTCACGAACTCCAAGATCATGACCTGAGCCGAAATCAAGAGCAACCCATCGGATGCTCAACCCATTGAGCCACCCAGGCACCCAC